GATGAGATAATTCTTCTGTGATGGATGGTCGTGGGAATCCGGTTTCAGATAAGCATCCGTATGGGTAGCTTTCCTGTAGACAGAGTGGCTCATTGAACCATCAGGTCTCTTTTTAATTAGGACATCCAAAAAAGGTAGCTTGCCATCTTTTTCGACTTCCATGGTAAATCTGATGGCTGGGTGTATGGAATTGATGTGGTCGAAGAATTGGTCTAGAGCAGGCCGGCCATGTGGCCAGATGACAAAAGTGGCATCCACGTACCTCTTCCATAAGGTTGGGTGCAGAGTGGCAGTCTGGATGGCGTCAGTCTCAAATTTCTCCATGAAAATGTTAGCTATAACCGGAGATAGGGGGGAGCCCATTGGGGTGCCCTCAGTTTGTTTGTAGAAAGTTCCATTCCAAGTGAAGTATGTATTGGTTAAACAGTGTCTCACCAGGGGGGGGTACCTCAGTATTTAGTCCTTGATGAACCAAGTCTTCAATGATTGCGATGGTGTCAGGTACAGGAACCTTGGTGAATAAGGAAACTACATCAAAACTGACAAGCAGGTCGTCTGGGGACAGGGAAATACCCTTGATTGTCGATACCAGGTGAGTAGAATTTTGTATCGCAGAGGTGTTTTTTCCAGTGAAAGGACGCAGGATTTCAGACAAAAAACGAGCCAGTTTGTAGGTGGGGGAGTTGATAGTAGAGACGATGGGACGAAGGGGTGTATCTACTTTATGTATTTTTGGTAAGCCGTATCATCTTGGTGGCCTGGCAGCAGAAGGTTTCAACGAAAACTGTTTAGCAGACCTTAAACACGGTAGGACCAACACCTCGGCCGTGGCAGATCATTGTTATAATTCAGTAGGCTCACATGACATTGACTTTTCCAAGACAGAGGTTCTTTGTAAGCCATCTGGCTACCATGAGAGATTCGTTCATGAGGCTATCCACATATACAAGCACAGAGACAATTTCAACCGAGAAGATGGATTCTGGCTTAGCAATCATTGGAAAGATTTGATAAATCATTTCAGGTCTTAATTGATTGTTCACGCTTACAGTGGTTTTCAGACAGCATACATTAAAAGTTTTCGTCTCCCCCCTCCTCTTTTCAGAACATAGATGGACTAATCCTTCTAAATAAACTGCCAAATCACTGCGCGTGGCGCTAACGTTTTTTTTTATAAATAAATACACCGTTTAAAAATAAATAAATTTATGCAAACCGACACACCTGATGACGACCGTTTGTGTTATGGTCGAAACGTCGTGAGAATTTTTTTTATTGTTTTATATATATTTTATTATTTTATTGTTTCCCTTCAACGTGACTTTACCGAAAGAACTAAGATTATGAATTACTGCAGTCACGACAATGTTGCAGTGGTGTGTAAAACGAATTATTACTGGCAAAGACTAATTAGAGAATCCATTGAAATTGAGAGGAACAAGAATAACTTTAATCGCTCTGACAGCTACCGGCTTAGTGCGGCCTGGAAGCGTATTATTAAATAATACACATTACATTTTGATTTAAAGAATTACTAATCTACAACTCATTACTAATCATAACCAATGACTGATTACTAATCGATTATATAATTACATTACCCCCCCCTCCGCCTCTAATCACAGCACCTGATGAGTTGAGTGATGACGTCACCCTGCTGCTCTATATAAAACCGGGAGCAAGCGAGGGCTTTACCATTCTGGCGAATTGCCCGATGATGCTGGAAGTATTTACCAGCGAAACGTCGTACTCAAACTGTAAATGTGGATTAACTCTTCAACACACCGGTGGGCTGAAGTAGTGAATTATTTGTCTTTTGTCAACGTGACACTTTTTTTTGCTGATTGGCCGTGTCGGGTGGTGGAGGGTTACGACACATTTATAAATAAACGCGATCTAACCCAAAAACCTTTATTATGAATAATATTGGTCGCGAAAGCCTACGTGTTAAACTGACGAAAGCTTTAGATCAAAAATAATAATTTAAATGTATAAAGCACCCTTAAACAATCGTTCTAAAGGGCACTGTGCAGAGAAAGGCGGAAAAATAGTTGAACGTCACCCAAGGCAAGGAGAAGTGAGAGAGACGTTAATAAAATAACGAAAGAGAGAGTGAATGGCACTTGAAACAGATGCGTTTTTAGCGGAGATTTGTAAGATTTGTAAGTATCTCGGAAATCCCCCGACTTCGAAGGGGCAAGGAGGTGTAGCAGTTGCCGCAATTGCAAAAGCACCGTCACCCCCACCACCACCACCACGTGTGAAGCCTCAAGACCGTGGTTGACAGTGAGCAACACACAATCTGAGAATCTTAACGATACTTGATGGAATATATGTGGCTGAAGGAGGTCATGAATGTACGGAAAAGCGCCTGCAGGAAAAAAAAAACATTTTCCGAAGCTCAGAACCCCGGTCAGCTCCAGTGCTGGATTATCCCCGTAGCAAAAGTAGCTACTAAATAGCTACTACGCGCGTAGTAGCTACTACACGTGTAGTAGCTACTATGTAGTATGTAGTAGCTACACATGTAGTAGCTACACATGTAGTAGCTACTACACGTGTAACACTACACGTGTAGTAGCTACACGTGTAGTAATTACTATGTATGTAGTAGCTACACATGTAGTAGTAGCTACTACATGTGTAGCTACTAACCCAAAAAAGTAGTAGCTACTACATATGTAGTAGCATATGTAGTAGCTACACATGTAGTAACTACGGGCCCCGCACTTTCAAGGGCCCAGCGCTAAATGCTTTCAAGCTATCAATTCTGGTTCAGTGATTCTGCACTTGCTCTATTACTATAGTAATATACCGCCTTAAACTTTTGTCAACGACTGGGTGTTTAAGGTCAGCGATTTGTCGTATTATCTGGCTGCAAAGCAAATAAAAAATGCAATTACTTTACTATGCAAGTTAAACATTTATGTGTTTTAATATTTATTGGTTCTTTTTATTTATTTATTTAGGACCCCTTTAAAACATTTGCTACAGGCCCCGCACTTAGCTTAATCCGGCACTGGTCAGGTCCCGCTGAATGAAGCCCTTTGCTTGAGTTTCAACAATGTCGCGTCGGCCAAAATCGGTCTAACTTTGTCCACACCACCTCCAGCCCTCCCGAAGTCGGTCACTCACTTCGAAGGGAGAATGCAAAATGACCGGCGTTGTACGGACGGGGGCGCGCGTGAGCTTCCCTGCAACTCAAAAATGAAGATGACATTTACGGCAAAAGACAAAGACCCACCACCACCACCACCATCCCCGCCGCCTCCGCCCCATCTCCACGGGCTGTTGGGACAAGTGCTCTTTAGCGAGAGGCATCTATTGAAGGCTGGCACGGCATACGAACGGGGGGGGGGCGGGTTGGCCAGCACCACGCCCGGCCGCCTTTGTCTTCATACAGAGTGGTGATGTTCATCCACACCGCATCGGGTTACTCTTTCGAGGCCGAGTCGACCGAGGTGACCGGTTCAAGATAATCGCCGCTGGGGTTGGCCGTGAGCCGGAATCGAACTCTGGTCGCTGGGTTTCGTAGCGCAGCGCCGCTAACCACTACTACCCCCCACCTCGTGTGCCGTGCCGACCTTCATAGGTACTCGATAACAGCACTTGCCCACCAAAAAGTATGTTTAGGCTGTACGGGGGAGGACGGGGATTTATCGCTGCCGCTGATAATTATGACATGCGGTAGTTGTGCCGTTGTTTAAAGTTGGACGTAATTGAATGACCATCATTCCGTTAGTCCGTCATTCGCAACTCCTTGTCAACAGGGTTGCCAACTGTGCAAGCCCCGCGAAGTCGAGCGAGCGAGCGACAGATAATGAGCATCAAGCCACTCGGACTCGCTCCATCATCATCATCATCATTGTCTCCAGGGCGCACGTGCGAGGGATGACACGAGGAGGCGCACGTGCGCCGTGATTGACGTTTCGCGGTCACGCCACCTTCGGGGGGTGGGGGGGGCGGTGGAGGGGCCGTGCCACGCACGCTCGCTCGCTCTCTTTTATCCACTGCTAGATGTGTACGGAATGCGGGTTACGGTGCTTGCGGATGATTCTCGTGCGTGCTGGGAGAGGTATTTAAGGTCGTTTGAATGGGTTGGGTGAAAGTGCGATGGTTGGTGGGTGGGTGAATAGGGGAAGATAGAGGGGGAGTGGATTTGGGGCGGTCGCAGGGGAGGGAGAGAGATGGAAAGGGGGGTTGGGTGAGTAGGCGGGATGGTGGGTGGAGGGTTGATGTGTGGGTGGAGGGTTGATGTGTGGGTGGAGGGTTGATGGGTGGGTGGAGGGTTGATGTGTGGGTGGAGGGTTGATGGGTGGGTGGAGGGTTGATGTGTGGGTGGAGGGTTGATGGGTGGGTGGAGGGTTGATGTGTGGGTGGAGGGTTGATGTGTGGGTGGAGGGTTGATGTGTGGGTGGAGGGTTGATGGGTGGGTGGAGGGGTGAGTGGTAATCGTGTTTGATGGAGGGATAGGAGGGATGGCGGGTCGGGTTGGGTGGGTTCAGGGTTTGATGGAGGGATGTGGGTTGTGGCGGGGAGGAGGGGGGTTAAGAGGGAGGGATTCTGGGGTGGTGGGTTGTAGGGGTTTGATGGAGGGTTGGTGGAGATGGGTGCAGGGAGATTGTAAGAGTAGTGGCGGTGGGTGTGGGAGGGCAACGGTGTGTGGGGTGGGAGGGGGTGTGCTGGGTGGGTGGAGAGTTTGATGGAGGGACCTGCGGGGGTGGGTGGGTGGGTGGGGAGGGGTTTATTGGAGGTGTGGTTGGTGGTGGTGGTGGTGGGGGGGGTGTGCAGGGAGATTGTAGTGACCATGCGATGGGGAGGTGGGGGGGTGATGGTGGGGGGGGGGGGGAGAATGGGGAGGGGGTGGGGGGTGGGGGAGGGCTACGTAGCCAGCAATAGGATGCGGAGGGAGCGCCCTACGTCGGCGTTCGGCGGGGGTGGTGCCGGTGCTGCTTGCCGCTGGTAGTGGTGGTGGTGGCGCTTCGGGGCGTGGGGGGGGGGGTTGGTGCGTGGGGGGTGGATTGATGTGAAAATATCGGGATTTGATAGCCGAGGGGTCGCGCCATCTCAGTCACACGACGACAATCATGGTGGATAGTGCTAACGGCCTGGACACCAAGTCGGCTCTGGTGAGTTGAGTTTGTTGGAGCGAAGCGAAGCAGCGGCAGTCGGAGGAGGAGGAGGAGGGAGGGAGCCCCGAGCGGGGCTGCGGCTGTTTGGTAGCCGAAGCCGGCCGGCTGCCAAAACGCCGATAACCACCACCCCCCCACCTCCCCTTACCACCGTCGGTCCGGTTGCTAGTGGACTTATTGGTGGGTGGTAGTGGGTCAGTGGTAGTAGTAGTGGTGGTAGCTTTGGTGGTGGTGGTGGTGGTGGTAATAGTTGGTGGTGGTGTTATAGTAACGGTGGATGGTACTTGTAGTATAGGCGGTATGTGTGTGTGTACGCGCCGGTGATGTCTAAGTATATATAGTATCTGTATGTGTGTGTCTATGGGTTCTGTTGTGTGTGTGCCCTACGTGTACCTATGGGTAGTTGTATGTCTGTGTGTGTCTATGGGTTCTGTTGTGTGTGTATACACTTGTGTGTGCCCTACGTGTACCAATGGGTAGTTGTATGTCTGTGTGTGTCTATGGGTTCTGTTGTGTGTGTTTGTATACATGTGTGTGTGTCCTACGTGTACCTATGGGTAGTTGTGTGTCTATGGGTTCTGTTGTGTGTGTGTATACACGTGTGTGTGTCCTACGTGTACCTATGGGTAGTTGTATGTATGTGTGTGTCTATGGGTTATGTTGTGTGTGTATACACTTGTGTGTGCCCTACGTGTACCTATGGGTAGTTGTATGTATGTCTGTGTACATGAGTGTATGCATATACGTCAATCTACACTCATATACGAGCATGTATGTGTGTGTGTACATTCGTGTGTGTGTTCATGTGAAATGCCCCAATAGTTTGGTAAGCGCTATAACGTGGGGGGTGATCTTTATCTTTGTACGTCTCTACACGTGTGCATGTGTCTGTTATTTGTAAGTTATGTACGTGTTTATGTACGTGTTTGTGTAATAGTATGTGTACTACGTCTGAGCGTCCAGTGTGTAACCGAGCCTAGAGTGGCCTCAATCATTACGGGTCCACTGCCTTCGCCGTGCACAACGTATCATGTAACATGCGTGTGCTTGCGTGTATTATGTAGTGTTGTATGTTGTGTGTAGTGTGTGGCATGTATGTAGTGTGTGTGGCATGTATGTTGTGTGTGTGTAGTGTGTGTGGCATGTATGTTGTGTGTGTGTGTGTAGTATGTGTGGCATGTATGTTGTGTGTGTGTAGTGTGTGTGGCATGTATGTTGTGTGTGTAGTGTGTGTATGGCGTGTATGTTGTGTGTGTGTGTAGTGTGTGTGTGGCATGTATGTTGTGTGTGTGTGTAGTGTGTGTGGCATGTATGTTGTGTGGTTTTTTTAGGGGGGGGTGGAGCGGTGGCGCGAGTGGTGAGCGCACTGCGCCCAGCACCAGTCCTGGGGGGGGCCCTCTCTTAGATCCACTCGGCCAGAGATGAGTTTACCTTGGGGGGGGGGGTGGAGGGCGGAGGGGAGACAAAGGCGGCCGGGCGTGGTTGCTCGCCTCTCAACCCCCATCGGTGTGCCGTGCCGGCCTTCTTAGAGGGCTCGCTTCTAACAGCACGTGCCCCCCTTATAGTCTGTCGATGCTATACTGGTGGGGGTGGGGGGCTTTGTACTTGTCTACATGTACCCTTAGAACACGTACACGGCTGTGTATGTGATGTGAGTACACGCGTATTAACGTGTGTGTGTACACGAATGTCTATACATACCCCACGTGTGTGTGGTACGTGTGTGTGTGTGATGTGGCACACGTGTGTTGTGTGTGGTACGTGTGTGTTGTGTGTGGTACGTGTGTGTGATGTGGTACACGTGTGTGTGTGTGGTACGTGTGTGTGTGATGTGGTACACGTGTGTTGTGTGTGTGTATGTAACGTGGGGTATGCATGGGACGCGATGCAATACGCCATTCATCGTTGTGTGTTAAATTACGCTGCGATGTGTATCCCACGTTTACAATCTGTGTGTGTGCCATATGTGATTACACGTACGTGATGGGATGTGGCACGCACGTCTGTGTGTGATGTGGTACACACGTGTGTGTGATGTGGTACACACGTGTGTGCGTGTGTGATGTGGTACACTGCGTATTATGATGTAACGTGTTGCGTATTTATACACACACACACGCAACTCCGATGTGTAACCACGTATACACACCGCCTGTGATGTGTTCTATCCCTTCGCCTGTGAGCTGTGTGGTACATGCAGCCCTTTGCATGTGTAAAAACCCCGTATACCGTCCAACGTTGGTGCAACGTTCGTGGACGTTCGACCAACGTTGTTGGTACGTTAAATGTTTTCTTTCACCGAGCTGGTCAGTAACTGGGAAGAGCCGCATCGGAAGCTTGGTGCGGTGTTTTGTTGTTATACCTTAGGTAGCTCGTATCGTTAACATGAATGTATAATGCGTGTGTACACACACAAGCTTGTGTCTGTGTCTGTCTTGTGTGTGTCTGTCTTGTGTGTGTCTGTGTCTGTCTTGTGTGTGTCTGTGTCTGTCTTGTGTGTGTCTGTGTCTGTCTTGTGTGTGTCTGTGTCTGTCTTGTGTGTGTCTGTGTCTGTCTTGTGTGTGTCTTGTGTCTGTCGTGTGTGTCGTGTGTGTCTTGTGTGTGTCGTGTGTGTCTCGTGTCTGTCTTGTGTGTGTGTGTGTCTGTCTTGTGTGTGTGTCTGTGTGTCTTATGTGTAAAGAGTTGAGTCATTTCACTGCCCAGTAATGCGTTTAAGAGTAATGAGTCTTTTTAAACGGAGTGGTTTCGTACGATGTTATGCATTGTACCCTCTATATGTGTATGTGTGTTTGCGTCTTTCGTTATGGAATACTTTGGGGGGGGGGGTCTTAAACGTGCCAAATTGTGTTATGTTGGGAAGCGTTTGTTGTGTACGGCACGATAGTGTCGTGTTAGCTCTGAACGTCTCACATTGTGTTACGTACATCATACACGTAATGTCTAAGCTGTGAGATAGATGAGCTATGAGATGTAATGTCTCAGCTATGAGATGTAACGTCTAAGCTATGAGATAGATGGACTTTAAGATGTAATGTCTCAGCTATGAGATTGTAAGGTCTAAGCTATGAGATAGATGAGCTATGAGATGTAATGTCTCGGCTATGAGATGTAACGTCTAAGCTATGAGATAGATGGACTATAACATGTATTAAAAACTATGAGATAGATGAGCTATGAGATGCAATGTCCAAGCTATGAGATATATGGACTATGAGATTGTAATGTCTAAGCTATGAGATAGATGAGCTATGAGATTGTAATGTCTAAGCTATGAGATAGATGAGCTATGAGATATGTGGACTATGAGATGTAATGTCCAAGCTATGAGATATATGGACTATGAGATTGTAATGTCCAAGCTATGAGATAGATGAGCTATGTGATATATGGACTATGAGATGTAATGTCAAAGCTATGAGATATATGGACTATGAGATGTATTAAAAACTGAGATATATGGACTATGAGATGTAATGTCTAAGCTATGAGATATATGGACTATGAGATTGTAATGTCTAAGCTATGAGATATATGAGATAGATGAGCTATGAGATGTATTAAAAACTATGAGATAGCCCTTGCACTATTTCGCATGCACAATTGATGTAATCTTTGTTAAGACAGTACGTAATGTGTGTGTGTACAGGCTGCTGTGGCTACTTGTGTAATGATAGGCTAAGTTAAGAGTTCTTATGTTTAATGTATGTGATGTATTCGTCAGTGTATTGTGTGTAAGTTGTTAATTAGCAGTGTGTATAATAGTTTGTTTTAGACTTATTAAGCAACGTAAGAGTTTTCATGACAGTGCATCATCTTCTATGCTTTGTAATGTGTCGTAAGTTATTGAGTTGTAAGCTGTAATAATTTAGATTGTGTATAAGCTTTGTGTGTGTTAGTCTTAAGATAGATATTAGACTTTGTATTAGATTTATAATAGTGTCTTAAAGTGTGTAATCGTTTTTTGAGTTAGTTTTCTAACGTTTGAGACATTAGATTTGTGTGTGTCTGTAAGTTTAAGTGATACAGCTTACACTATGTATAAGCTATTTAACATTAGATTGTGTTTGTATTTTTGTTAAAAACGTGTGCACAGGCCATGTATAAGTTGTGTGCATATTCTGTGACAATTCTTATAAGCTATGTGTGTGTTAAGTAACGTGATAGATCTTACACTAAGGTAGCAGTAGTTTTTGTTTAATGTTTGTAAGATATTTTAATGTTTTAGAAGACTTGTCGAAGCGACGTAAGGTTTGTGTTTTAAAGCGATACAATTTTAAGCGCTTACCAGCCACGTACGAATTCTCAACACATTTCCTATCTTTGTAACATTTCTTAGCCCTTGTTTTAATAATAATATGAATAATAAGCGGTATACTATAGTGTATATATGGATAACCTATGGCATTGTCATAAGTCTTAGTGTGTACGTGGATAAGCTGTGGTTATAAGCTATGGTCATAGTTCAGACTTTGCGGTTCATATAATGTTATACAACGTTTACATAATGTTAACTCACAATCTTATAGTTGTATAGTGTATAAGAAACGCATGTTCGGGCACATCTACAGCACAAACTATCGTCCTTAGCGATATAAGCTTATTAACTTCAACACTTTGCGCGTGTGTTTGTACAACTTTGCGTTGTGCTGTGCATAGTCTCAAGTTCCGCTTATCATGCTCTGCAATGTCGTTTAAACTTTGTAATATTTCCAGCGATTACAGTGCAACCTTGCGATGCGTTTAAGCAAATGCCATCAACTTTTGGCGTGTTTCTCACGTTGCCTATGTTGCTCCACGTGTCACCAAGTGTTACAATCTACTGCTGGATGAAATGCCTCCCCCTGACACCGTCGGAAGGTTCGGTGGTCCTTAGTGGTTCGGTGATCCTTAGTGGTTTGATGATCCTTAGTGGTTCGGTGATCCTTAATGGTTTGGTGGTCCTTAGTGGTTTGGTGTTCCTTAGTGGTTCGGTGATCCTTAGTGGTTTGGTGGTCCTT